GCTGGGCCAGAGGACGAATGGGTGGTGACAGTACGGGGTGCGATTGGGATAGAGTGGGATGAAAAAGAGTGGAAAAGAGAAATGAATAAGCAAGTGAAAGACTATGGGCTGAAGGTGTGGAAGCAAGGAATGGAGGGAAAGGACACTCTAAGACTGTATCAGATGAAAGGGATGCCAAAATATGAATGTATGTATGATGGTAGTAGAGGTGGGGACCTTCTGTTTTGTGTTAGGGCAGGTGTGCTAGGTGTGAATGGACGTACATACAGGTGGAATGAGAGGAGGGAAGATAAATATCTTTTGTGTGATGGGGATGAGAAGGAAACTGTGGAGCACTTGTTGATGGAATGTGGGGCGTATGAGAGAGAGCGTCAGTCTATGATGGAGGTGATTCTGAATGAGAGAGGTGAGACGAAGTGGGGCATGAGAGAACAAGCGAAGAGTGGATGGCGATAATTACGCGTCTGTCTGAGGGAGCAAGTGCGGCTATGTTTGAGAGTGTGAAGAGATATTTGGAAAACGTGTGGAGGATGAGGGAGAGGAGGAGGATGATAAGAGTGAGGTCTTGAGAAATGGAGGGTTGAGAGAGGGGAGGGTGGGAGAGAGTGGAGGGTGGGAAGACAAATGCGAACGTGCCAAATTGTTTTAGTACATTGTTTTATTTTTTTAGGTTGTTGCAAAACAAAACGAAATTGTTAAGCTCTTTTTCTTAGGACTGCTGTGAATACAGTTTAATTTAACTTTTTTGTTATGATACGAGTGTTAACTTTTAATTTTTTGATGCTAGTAAAAGTTTTTAGACAGCATGTATAACCGATATAAAGGTCGTGACCGGAGATCACCATGCATTTCAATTTCATGGGATTATTATTGGAATGAGTTATTTAAAATTCAATAAATCTAAAAATAAACTCTTATAGACTTATAGTAATTTATGAAACTCCAGACACTGCATTTTTGTTTAAAATACTGTCTAAGTACTCTAGTTCATGTTAATTGTTCATTTATTTCTTTGAATTGATTTATAAGCAATATTCAAGAATTATAGACAAAAATGGGTTGTTTTTCATATTTTATAAGAAGGAAATTAGGCAAAGGTTGTAGCCTAACTTGTGAAAACAGGTAAAATTGACCTTAAGCATACTAGCATAGGCATTTTTATTTCATTTATCATTTATGGGTCAGGGGTGGCAATGTGGCATGTGACTTGAAGACTTCTACCCAATTTTTTTACCTCTGCCAAATTTTATACCTGTAGAATTGCCTGTAATGAGTCTTTAACTATAAGTATTGTAGGTATGATGTATGACAGGACTTCAAATATTAAAATATTTATAATATTGATTAATTTTAATTATTTATTAATGATCTTTATTATGATTCATATCTACCATACTATATAAAATGCATTTTTCCTAATTTGACTTGATTGATCCATAGGATGACAAATATATAATATCGTCAGACTAAAAACAACCATGCTAAAATGCCAAATTTCAGATAGCAAAACAACCCACCCATTAAAAAATTACCTATACCTACTTGACTAGGCCCCCAAAATTGTTCTATAGTCATTCAAGACCTATTATGCTGCAATGAAATAAAAAAATTGACCACCAGTTAATGGCAGTTATCTCCATGTCAAAATCTAGTTAGAAAGTTTTTCAGTTTTGTCTAAATTCTTGGGTGCTATTTTAGCAGTTTTTATCATCATTGCTAGAGAAATAAACATGACTAATTTTTTAACAAAACTTTATATTAGCCCTAGCTAAATTTAATGTTTAAGCAAAATTTCAACTTTGGTATTAACATGGTAATTCAATATACGTGTCTTTTTTAATTCTATAATATGAGCTTCCTAACTAAAAACTACTAGTGTTACAAGTATAATATATGGCAAATGTATATATATAATATACAAGTATAATATATGGCAAATGTATAATATATAAACTAGTTGTTTTCGGTATAAATTTCATGGTGCCAACTACCAATTCTCCAAAAAATACGAAGACAAAGCTGACTGTAAATATACAAATTACATTTCAATACTATAAATACACAAATTAATTTTCATTTATGAATTTAATTTGCCAATATTATTGATGGACTAATCTTGATTTTTTTTAATCACATTGCTAGACTGTGGAATTCATAATCACAACCTCATGAAATGTCATATGCCATCACTCTTCATTATAGATTATTGAAAATATCAATTTTGTACAAAATAAGATGGCTTAGGTGAGGAATATATCTCTCGCCCGCACATAGTAGCAGAGCAGAGTTTTTTTAGACTCTACTTCAAGTTCATTTTTAATCCTGTAAGTAGAACAGTAAAGTGTCATGGATACTAGCATTATCATACATAATAAATTGGTTTAAATCCTGAGTAAATGAGAAAATTAAAAATGACCTGATTCTAAAAAATCTGTGTAGGTCACTATGCTCCTGAGCCCTTACTAGAGCTTACCTGCTATTTGTGGAGCTGCAAGATTCCTGCTAGATCAGTGGTTCCCAAAGTGGGCAGTATTGCCCCCCTGAGGGTGGTGGAAAGATTTGGGGGGTGGTGAGGAAGAAAGGGGCAGTAAGTAGGTGGCGGCAGTCCAGAGTCAAAGTCAGAAGACAAATTGTACCTACACAACAGATGCAGCTGCTGGATGTGACTCCCAGTTATGAGTTTTTTCTCCCTGATCTGGGTTTCTTGAACTTCTCCTAGGTTTATGTCTCAGGCAAATTTACAGCTGCGAGTGACTTGCGGTTGGTCTCAAGTCTAATTTCCATATTCAATGATCAAGAAATATGTCCTTGATAATGCACCTAACTAGATGACACTTGGTGCATAAATTCATTAAGACCCAATGGTGATGTTTAGCTTGTGACATTTTTTAATTTCACCTTCATTTGTGAGTTATATGGCAATAAGGGCCAAAATTCACAGTGATCAAGGAATTTCTTACTAATTGCTGAACAGATTTGAACAAAATTTTGATTATACATTCCAAACTACTGACTGGTGATTTTTAGATTGTGAAAAATTTTTAGATTTTGTCTTTGTTTGCAATTTTTTTCCCCATTTCACCTTCATTCATGATTTAAACAGCAATACCTATGTGCCTAAATTCGCAGTGATCAAGAAATTTCTCCAAACTACTGAAGATTTGAGCAAAACTTTGTAGATAAATACCTAGCCTCCTAGTAGTGATGTTTTGCTTGTGATAATTTTTTTTTTTTGCCTTTGTTTGCGAGTTATACAGATATGTCAGGTCGTGATGTCATTAGTGACCCTTACATCACCTTCTGTGATGTCACTATTTGTGTCTACGCCTCTTGGTTAAATGGCTGGTCGAAATGTTGGTCGTATATCCATCTAACTCATGAATGAAGGCAAAATAGAAAAAAATTGTTATGAGCTAAACATCATCATTGCTGAGATTTGGTAGTTTGTCACTAAGTTTTGTTTAAATCTGTTTCATAGTTTGAAAGAAATTTCTTGATCACTGCAAATTTAAGCAACAAATTACCTGGCAATGCAGGCTGAATAAAGGAGTGTGAAATCACAAATGAGGGTGAAATGAAAAAAGCTCTCAAGCGAAGGCATAATAAAAAAATTTTCCTGAGTTGAAAATTACCATTTGGTAGTTAGGAATTTATATTCAAAATTTCATTTGAATCTGTTTAGTTGTTTGGAAGAAATTCTTTGATTACAGCAAATTTTGGCCCATATTGCCTTATAACTCACAAATTAAGATGAAATTTTAAAAATTTCCATAAGCCTAACATCTCCTTCTGGTCCTATTGAATATATTTTCCAATTTTCATCAAGCTGCATTCATTAGTTTAGGAGATATTCCTTGATAATTGAATTTTGAGACCGGCTGTAAATTTGTCTGAGATGTCCTGGGTTTCTAGTGCTGAAACAGTTGAAACTCCTAAAATATATTTTGGTTTACTTAATGGGTTCTATTTGTGAAATACACATTTGTGTTAAAGCTTTCTCTTATAAAATTGCAACATTTGTACTAATTATGAAGAAAGAGGCATTTGTTTTATATGTGCCTGTGGAGGACACTAGAAATTCACTGGTGAGCCAGATGGGGCTGAAAATTTTGTGAACCACTGTGCTACATGAATTACCTCCTATTCAATTGTTAAAAAAGGCAGAATAATCCATGAGATTCAAAGTTATTCTAAATATGTTACTTATTAGCTGTAAAATTTCGGTAATAAGTATGAAAATTCTAATCTTGCACTTGCATCTACTGCATCTTTATCCTATTATTTGTCATGTAAAAAAGTCACTAGATTGCTTTAATCGCAGATTCACTAGAAATTTAAAAGCGAAGAAAACACCACAAAAATTTAGCATATCTCTTTTGAAAACGTTTCAAAACGATGGAGCTGGTCTCCGAAACGTTTTCAAAAGAGATATGCTAAATTTTTGTGGTGTTTTCTTCGCTTTTAAATTTCTAATTATTTGTCATACTTCAGACCTGAAATTCTTTAATTTATTTTGAATTCTGACTTTAATTAAATTCTTTCACTCAAGGGTCTTGATTCAGATGGAGGCATAGTAGGGCAGAGTTGACTCTGTCACTCACCCAGCAACCTGGATTTGAGTCACATACAGGACGGAAACTCAGCTCATGGCCAACTAGGCCATGGCTTTTAACTAGGCCATAGGCTTTTAACTAGGCCATAGGCTTTTATCTAAATTCTGGTAGATAAGTGAGTACCTGTTTTGTCCAGAAGGTTGGTTGTGTCATAACGGTTCTGGCAGGTCAGCAAGCCAGTGATGGTGATAGAATCACCTGTGGCCTTGGTGCCCTGAAAAGCTGACCTATCACCCCTCCCTAGTCACCACTGTCAGCATGTGTAATTACAACAAAAACAATGATACAGTAACATTTTTAGGATCTTATTATACTGGAACTCAAGTTGACTGCAATCAAGTGTCTGTGGAATTGTCTTTAATCATAATTTTTTATTTTTTATTTTTCAGCAAGAAAAAAGCCTCATTTAAAAGTGAGAATGAAATTCATTCATCTAATCAATAACTCTAAATTTATTTCAATGCCTTTATTTTCCAAAATGCTGCTTCATAATCAATTTATATCACAAAGAATTCCATATAACTATTACTCAACCTTCATATGTGAAAGGCCTAATAATGAACAAGATAAAGTGTGGTTTAGGAAGCTTCTATCAAAAAATATGAGAAAGAATCTTTGTGATTCAAGGAGCTATACCAATCAGAATATCCTGAGGTTGGCTGAAAGAGGTATTTGGAAAGATAGATTTCCAATTGCAAGGTAAGTTGGTCTAGTGCTCAGATTTTCAATTAATTTTATTACTGTTGAAAATATTTTTGCATTGAACTTATAGTATATATACTATGTTAGTAGTATAGATAGAGGCCTTATAATGACAGGTTGCCTAAATGACCTAATAGGATTACTACCATCTACCTCTGATCAAAACCTGATCATTTACCCTGATTGACCAAGCTCTCTCATTATTTTTTATTCACCAACTTAGTATAGTTCAGACTGTTGATAAAAACCTGAAACTTAACCTAGAAGATTCTTCTTTGGAATATATAATTGATTTAAATTTTCTAAATACTCTCCAGAAACTGGGTGCTCATAGTTATTAATCAACATCAAGCCATCCTGTACTTTCTATGTATCAATAGATACATAGACAGTACAGTCTTTGGACATCTCTTATTGTATCTTTCATTTTTATAAGAAATTTCATCAAGCTTTTTCTCTTCACAGGCTGCTCCAAATGACAGTAGCATGTAGATGAACTACCCTATTTCTTCATTAATTATTTCATATGGTACATTAGCTCTCATTTTTTATAAACCCTCATTATAAAGGGTATCAGTCGGCTTTTATAGAAGAAGTTGGAATAGAATCTGACAACAGAAACTAACTAAGTTAATTTAATCTAATGGTGGTTCAAGGCCAGCATATTGATACTGTCTGCTAATACATGTCATTAATCATTGTTGCCATTCAGTGCAATCTTATTTATCTCCTTTGTATATAATTCATCACTTTTGATATTATACATTGTTTTGTATAGGTATAATCTCATTATTCAATGCTCTCTTATATTAATCCATGGTTGTATTCCTTTCAATGACATTTTTCTTTATAGTACCTTTAGCGTTTTTAGCAATAGAATACTTTGTTATATGGCAAAACAGCTTTGCTCAAAGACCTACAAATTCTTAAATTCATGTATTGGCAGTCTGCCTGTTCCACCCATCATTTTACCTAGTACTTTTTTGTTCCATAGGAATAAAAATATAAAATAGTATAAGAGATGATCTTGATGATACTGTCAATTGGGGCAATAAGGGACAATTTTGAGCAATTTTTGTTAATAACTTCTTACCATGAAACATTTCCTTAACAAATTTGGGCTCATTTTAAAGGTCTTTTGAGGGCTATCATATGGCATATCTGAAAAAATTTCATATGCTATTTGCAAGGTGCCGGATACAAAAGAAAAGCATCCTGAATTATCCCTGGGAAAAGGGTAATTTGTGATACTTGAAATAAAACTTAATTTTAAAATGTTTGAAGCATGCAGAGTGTAGTACTTGTCCTTTACTAGCACTGACTTCAGTGATAAGTCCTCCTCTTCCTTTGTAGATGATGTAGATGTATTAGAACAAATTAAATTTTCTGTGATTTGTACTTGTTTCTGCTTTATTGATATGATACTACCATATCCATACATTACTGTATTATTAATGTGATATTACTGTATCCATGGACATGCCATTGAGCATTGACCACAACCTTCTCCACTGCAAGCTTCATATCAGCAGCCATGTAGCATTTCTTCTGTATCTGTAAGCTTGCAGGACTGGACTTGTAATTTCACACCATTTTAATTGGGTAAAGTGAATTCACTACCTACAACAACAAAAAATAAAAAGATTATAAAAACATACCCAGAAAAGAAAATAATATTTTAGTGACAGCCATTACATTTTTTGGAGAAATGGATCATAGTTTAGGTTAATTACTTTTTATTCTATGTTGCCCAGTGCACAATTCTATCTATGACATTCAACGCACAATTTTGTGATGATCAATGATGATTCACTTACTTTTTCATTTTTTTTTCACTGAGCGAGGTAAATGTAATCAAAATTCTTTATTGATAACCAATTTTTTTTTTTGTTAACCAGAGCCTTTGCTAACCAAGGTTTTGCTGTATGCGTTTTAGAGGTGTCCTATATAGCTCCATCATGCAGAAATGGCTGCCATTTTGTTTTGGAATGAAGTACAAAAATTCTGTCAGTGAAGTTTTAAAGCCAAAACCTGTCTGCAACTATTTTTGTAGCAAAATTTTTTAATATGGCAAATATTTTTATACTACAGACCTTCGAAGAAGTACCTTTCCTAAATATAATTTTTTAACATTTTTTTCAGGGTTTTTTAGAGCTAGTAAATGTATGATTTCTCAACTCCCTTTATGCTAAATAGATTGTGAAAATGTTGAAGTTTATGCCACTATTTTAAGTTTTGCAATATTTCAATTAGTTTTGCTGCTAAAACATTTTCACAACATTATGGAAGACTGTCCCAATTTACCCCGCCAGCCCCTTATTACTCCTTCTGACGGAACTGTTTAAGTTTCCACTCATTGACCCTGGGCTCACTGTGTGCAAGACAAGTAGGTATTTAGACGAGGCTCCAGGTTCTGAAAAGTATTTAATCAATTCAAATCAATAATATATTCCAAAGAAGTAGTATCTTTCAAAGTGACACTCGCTCCAGGTTAAATCCTGGGTTTAAAGTAACATAGTTTCCAAACTTTACTAATGCCAGTGGGTCAAAAACATTGAGAGTGCTTGGTCAATTTGGGTAAAAAGTCAGGTTTTGATTGAGAGTAAATTACTGTTAACCTATTAAGTCGTTCCAAATATTAATGGAAAAATAAACCAATGGTAATGCACTAAGTTACTAACCAATTAAAAAGTTTATTTTAAAGCTTCCATGTAGCCTTTAAAGCATAGAATTGGCACCAAGGATTGTGATTATTGGTTCTTTTAACAGCATAATCTTTGATTATTTTACAGCTTGGAATTTGAGAAGAGTTTGGCCACCTCCAAACAAACCGTGTATGCTGGATTTGATCCGACTGCTGATTCCCTGCACATCGGCAACCTGCTTGTTATCATCGCCCTTCTTCATTGTAGACAAGCTGGACACACGCCTCTTGTGTTGGTAAGGTTTACTAGCTTTTTACATTTTTTAAATAGAAAAGATCTTAATCAAATCTTGTTGTTTCAAGTAATATTGGTTATAACTCTTCTTCCAATTGATTGAGTATGATGTGAAATTGATTGAGTATAATGTTGAATTGATTGAGTATAATGTGAAAGAATTGAAAATGTTAAACTTTTTAACGTTTAATTGAGCACAGAATGTTGAATTAAATTTTTTTCATGTTTAATTTTTTGGCTAAATTGAATTGAATTTTTTTGCTAAATTGAATTAAATTGTTTTGCAAAAAAATACATGCCAAAAAATTAAATTCTTCAAAAACATGAAATATATTTTTGCTCCAGTTAGGTGGCTTCACATCTTCTGTTGGAGACCCTACAGGGCGTCTGAACGAGCGTCCTCACTTGTCTGAAGACGTGGCAGCAGCAAACTTGTCTCGAATTCACGACTGCATTCTCAAAATTTTTGAAAATCACAGCAAACTTTTCTGGAATTTTGGTGATAAGGAGCCTCTTCCAGATGCAATGTAAGAGCAAAACATGACTTGGTTGGTTTAGTGAATAGGATTGCATAGTTTGAAGCATCATGCTAAGAGAGTATGTAGGTTTGTTCAAAAAAACATGACTTGGTTGGTTTGGTGAATAGGATTGCATAGTTTCAAGCATCATGCTAAGAGAGCATGTACGTTTGTTCAGAAATTATGTGAATTCTTATTTTAATGTTTTTGAATGAAAAAATCTACACAACTTTTAGGGCTTCGAATGGCAAGTTACTCACAGAATGTATTCCAAGGCAAATTACCTTCATTTTGAGCTCACAATCGCTAGGGTGGGACAAATTTTTGTCCTTTATTGATTGCTCTTGCTTCTCACTTTAACTAAAATGAACCATAATATGGAGGAGCAGTTGATTTGTTAAGGCAAATGGTATGAAATAGATTTTTCTACACTTTAATATTTGCAATAGGTTATTTAAAAGTCTGAGTTTACCACATAAATTCATGTAAAAAATGAAAAATTCTGAACCTATCACTTTGATTTTTAATAGCTTGACCAGCTCAAATGCAGGCAACTAGGCCATAGGAGTTCATATATGGAGGGAAAGCATGGACAAGAGTATAATGGGTGCAATGTTCATAGTGTATGTTCTAGCTGCAATATATCACTGATGTGTTTATTCCAATACAAACTTTTGCTAACTACCGTAGAGACCTGGAGATTTTATCTTGTTTGTAGGCTGATATTGTAAACTGAGGAAAGGATAATTCTAATGATAAAACAAAGTATTTATCATCAAGGTTAATAAAGATAATGGTAAACTAAATGAAATGAAGCACTGAAATTACAATTGGCCAAATTTAAAAGTTTTTATATTCCTAAATTTCAATATGCTGGATATTCAATTTGGTATTAGTTCTATTCAATTGCATGTTCTCATCAATTAAACAATGTTTATTCAATCATTAAGTGTGTCAGATAATTTAAAAATGAAATACTTGAAAGCTTTGTTTGTCAGCATTACTTTCAAAACTTTCTGAACTTTCATGCAACACACATAAACACTATCCAAGAGAGCTGTAGCTAAGAAATTATAAGTCCACATAGATATAAGATCAGGTAGCTCTTGAGCTGATTTGCTTTATCAGTTATGTTTATTCCACACAAATGATGAGCAAATGGAGGAATTGATCTTATATTTATAAAGCACTTTTAGGCAAACATGGTGACAAGCCAACAGCAATGATGAATAAATAGACATTTAATTGGCATAAATGAATCTAGTTTAAAATTACAATGAACTAGCCGGAATATTATATTAGTGGCTGGCAATAATATATTTCTTAATTTTGTAACTTATATTTTTCAATTCTTCAGCTTTCTGAATAATCAATCCTGGATGCAGAACATAAAATTTTCCGAGCTCCTTCCCGTCCTGCAGGCAATGAAGATGAAAGATCTTTTAGGAAGTCGCTTCGTCAGAGAGAGACTTGGCAAGCCTGGAGCCTTGTCTTTGAATCTTAAAGAATTTTTATATCAAGTAAGCTGTGGGACTGGACTGCTTTGCTCTGATGTTCTACTTGTATAATTTGTTTGTTTTTGTATAATATGGCACTCCTTTGTTTACCAAGATACCAAGATTCTGGCATACTGACCATGTTATCTCATGTTTTTGGAACAAATATAGTTTTTTTCTTTATTTATGTTTCCCTAAGGATGACCGAAAGAATTCATTTTTTTTAATTGACTAAAATTTTTTTCTTCATCACTTTTCAGATTTGTCAGGCATATGACTGGTTGCATCTCTATGATAAGTATCAGTGCAAAATTCAAGTGAGTTGAAACCAATTGAAACCAATTGAAACCTAACCCATATGTATGGCCCTTAGATGACATATTTTTTGAGACATTTTAACCCATGTAGCATAATTTCACAACATTAAAATCAGTAATCATAATAAGTTCAACTACAGTCTTGCCTATGCAGTTAAAACTGGGTTGCAAACCTTGAGGCAGTTGATTAAAGTTCTATTCTAATTATTTACAAAATAGGCAGATGCATTTTATCATTGCAGTTATTCTCAACTCAAATTTTATTTATTTCAATCCTTGTGAATATGCACTATGCGCTGGTCTAATTGAACGAGAGTCTATCTCATATTTTGATATTTTTTTCTATCTCATAAAAACAAGAGTCTATCTCATATTTTGTATCGAATGTATTGTATACATTATAATTAATGTACAATCTATTGTTGTATGCAATACAATGTATTGTATACAGTATAATTCATTATGTATAGAATGAATACAATACAAGTCCTAACTACTCATGTCACAGATAGGAGGGAGCGACCAGCTCGGCAACATCATGGTCGGTCATGACCTCATACGCGATGCTCGGGGAGACTCTTCTTGTACAGGTTATTTTTGCGCCTAAAGATAAATCCCCCCGAAACTTTTTCCGCCAAAAGGAAAAATATTTTAGACTTGTAGACTTTACTGATGGAATTTGATTGTCATTTTGAATGTTATTTAGCATGTTAAACCCATATATCATGAAAATCAAGTTGATAAGTTTTTAATTCATTAACTAAATCTGCTCTCTTTGAACTAGTACTTTTATTTGCACTGTGTTTCTGCTTGTTGTATTCAATTTTAGTTTGTTTTAGTGTCTGCTTGTTGTATTAAATTTTAATCTGTGATACATTTCAATTGAATTTTTTATGGGAAACTCAAATTTTATGGGAAGCCCATATTATTTAAATTACAGGAAACTCATTTTTTGTTAACATCAAAATGATAAGTTTTTCATTTCATTAACTAAATCTGCTCTCTGTGAACTAATTTTCTTTGCATTATGTATTGCTTCTTTTATTAAATCTAAATCTGTGGTACATTTACAATTGAAATTTTTCTATTAAATAATAAATCATCCTAGTGGCCATGAACAGTTGTGCAAGGGCAGCAGATTATCCTCATAAGAATGTCAATACCTCCGTCTTTATCACTGCCGTAAACTTTATCCAAATTGCTCCTCTCATTTTAATTTAAATCTGTGGTACATTTACAATTAAAATTTCTCTATTAAATAATAAATCATCCAATTATTAAAATCATCCAATTAAATAAATTTGCAGGCCTCACCACGCCGCTGCTGCTGGGGCCGTATGGTGAGAAGCTTGGCAAGACTGCGGGCAACAGCGTCTGGCTGAGCAGCGACAGGACTTCAGTCTTTGATTTCTACCAGTATTTTCTGAGGAAGCAAGACACGGAGGTATTATGTTTTCCCACAGCCTCTTATACATGTCAGCGTCTGCTTTTAGTTGTATTTTTAAGTTGCCGGCTTTGAAATTTATGTCAGTGGTTGGGGTTAGTAATGGCCAATTAAATGTGTACTTGGGATTCATGATTATGTTGGAATATAACTTTCTATATCTGAGGGAACAGAAATTGTGCATTTCCGATTTAATAAAATTCCTGATCACACTTGAAACAACTTTTAATCTCTTGGCCTGAGGGACATCAATTGATTTGCTGCGTCAGCTTGAGCTTTAGTTCTTAATCACAAGCAGCCATCCTGATAAGTTTTTTTCAGTCCTTGTCTCAAGTGTAATGCTTATCATTGGTTGATATCATGCATTCCTTTCAAATTTACGTGTATTTAGAAAGCAAGAAACCCTCGATTTGGATAATCTATCTAGAGAACTATGAGTAATTCTACAAAAATTTCACAAAAATTATTCTCTTCTTATCTTTGTTCAGTTATGAAATTAATGTAAAAGAAGATGTGTGTTTTTGGTAGTATTATTTTGAATAATCGTGCCACAGACCATCAGCAGTTATCTTCTTATCTCAGTTTCAAGCGCTGCCACTTGGAGATATCTTCGTGCACCATTCAATTAATGACTTCTTTCCAGGTGGAAAATTTGTTGAAGTTGATGACGTTTATTCCTGTGAACGACATCAAGAAAATAATGCAGCAGCACAAGGTAATCTTTCTTAGAAACTTCCTTTATGCAANTTATCTCAGTTTCAAGCGCTGCCACTTGGAGATGTCTTTGTGCATCATTCCATTAATGACTTCTTTCCAGGTGGAAAATTTGTTGAAGTTGATGACGTTTATTCCTGTGAACGACATCAAGAAAATAATGCAGCAGCACAAGGTAATCTTTCTTAGAAACTTCCTTTATGCAAGAATCTTAGAAAGTCCAAGAGTTCTACAATTAGTTAAATATATTCACAGTGCATTCAAAATCCAATTTAGAATCGGTAATTACAGTCTAATAAATTCTCTAATGTTTTAAAAGGATTTGTTGGTAATTTCACAGCTAATTTATAAATGTTCATTGAAGTTTAATCTAATGACACGACGTGATGATAATCCTGTTAATGTAATTATCAATATTTGAAATTAATTTGTTCCGTAAGACGCCAGAGCAATTCACTGTAAATTGATGAAGGAAATGAACGCCAAAGAATAAAAGACCTTGCCCAGCGCCATTGAGTTTATGAAGAATTATTGATGTTGATGTCGCAGGAGATGTGATCTTCATCAATATTGATGTCGCATATTGATGTTGATGTCGCAGGAGAAGCCAGAGACGCTGACTGCGCAGAAGAAACTGGCGGAGTCGCTGACGCTGCTTGTACATGGAGGTCTGGCCTGGGGGGAAGCTTGCGAGCATGTTTGTGTACTAAAATAAACATGCTCTATGTTTATACTAAAATAATCAAACATGCTTCGTGTCTATGTATTAAAATAACATGTTTGGTTAAAAATAATGCCAGTTTTATTGAGAACTTCTTTTAAGTTTAATCTCTCAAGCTTTCTGATAAGAGGTACAGTAATAGGATGAATAAGTCTTAAAATTTGTCCAAATGGAAGGTTAGGTAAATCCTGCGATGCATTTCACTCATCACTGAGCATCTTCAGGCAACGAAGAATCAAACATGCTTCATGTTTATATATCTGCTTGGAAATACTTATGTACCTGCTCGTGTAATTCTCTAATGTAAGAAATAATATAATCTTATTAGTCCAGTAATGCAGTGCCTGGGAGTCTGGTGACATCATAGATTTATTATTGAATGATTTACAAGTGATTCCTTTAGCAGTCAATAATGCTAAACGTGGGTATGTACGAACCTCTCGTTACTGTCAATGTATTATTTAGGGTTAATCTAGTATTCTTATTTAATATTGTAGCTAACATGCACATTAGGAGCTAACATACACATTTAATTATAAAGTGGCCTCGCTTACAGCTTAGCAGAAAGCTTGCGCTACAAAATATTTCACTTCCATCGCTGCGCCTTCAATTGCAGATTATTCATTCAATTCGGAATCTTTTAATTTATTTTAATATTTCATTTACTGAAATTTTCAAAACATTGTGCGTGCAAGGATAATTTCTTGAACAAATATATTTTATTTTTTCGCCATCTAGTCAGACCAGCATGAAACGTGTTTTAAAATTTGCAAAATTTTCATGGCTCGAATTTTTTTATTTTGCCATGCGCCTAATATCATTTCTGACGATGTTCTTGTGTACGTTTAATTATCTACCTGCTGACTTTACTCTACGGAAAGATGATTCATTATAGTTAGTTTTGATTTCAACTCACAATTGATCATGCTGGGGACATTCTTCTTTCGTATCGCAGATGACGCGTATTGGACTATTTGTTGTATAATTACCCACACAACATTATTATACATTGTTAAATGGCACAGAGCGTGGGCTGGAGATTGCCCAGAAGTGCACGGCAATTTTGTACCACAACCAAGCGACGGCGCTGCTGGACCTGACGCCGCCTGACCTGGAGAACTTGTTCGGCGCCAACACAGCGCGCCTGACGCTCCACCCCGCCACCACCGTCCTACAGGCCGCCATGAGCGCTAAATGCTTCGCTTCTGAAAGTCAGTGTAACATTTATGTGCAGTTGTACTGGTAAACATTTATTAAGCAGTTGTACTCATGAACATTTATTAAGCAGTTGTACTCATGAACATTTATTAATGTACCTTCGTGCGGGATTGCGTGATTGTTTGAATTTGATTCATATGTGTTAGGTGCTGTTTTGATGAACATTTATTAATGTACCTTCGTGCAGGCTCCCTTGGATGTTTGAATTTGATGTATTTTGCGTTTGGTTTAGATCAACTTTATCGTTCGTGGCAGTTTGATCTTCAAGCGTTCCATGAGATTTGCACGTATTAAATGAGCGGTCTTGGTCTCAACAGAGATTTGAACGTTATTAAACTGGGATGAAAAGTTCACTTTAAACTTGAAATTTGTATTAAAAGTTTCCAAACTCCTAAAATTCTCGTTGTAGGTCTATAGATACCCTTGGTATTTATATTTGTCATTTCCAATATGTTGAATTTCGCCTATACTGAACTTTATTCGTCGTATTCCAGCAAATCATAGTTTTGAATGGAAATGGCATGAGTTCTATTATAATCATGTTTATGTACTAAAGTAATTACACATGCTTTATGTATATGTACTAAAACAGTCAAACATGCTTAATATTTATGTACTAAAATAATCAAACATGCTTATTGTTTATGTACTAAAATAATCAAACATGCTTTATGTGTATGTATCTGCTTGTATTACTTGTGTACCAGCTCTTGGAATACTCTAATTTAAGAAATAATGTTATCTTATTAGTCCAGTGATGCACTCCCTGGGAGTCTGATGCCATCTTACATTTATTATTGAACGATTTACGAGTAATTCCTTTAGCAGTCAATAATGCTAAACGTGGGTCTGTACGAACCTCTCGTTACTGTCAATGTACTATTTAGGGTTAATCTATTATTCCTAAGTAATATTGTTGCTAACATTTATTTAGGGTTAATCTAGTATTCCTAAGTAATATTGTTGCTAACATTCACTTATGGCGTAACTGTTTAGTGGTGAAGTGGCCTTGCTTACAGCTTAGCAGAAAGATAGCTTTACAAAATATTTTACTTTCATCGCTGTGTCTTCAATTGAAAATTATTCATTAACTTCGGAATCTTTTAATTTCTTTTAGTATCTTATTTACTAATCATTTTCTAATCACATTGTGCATGCAAGGACAATTTCCTTAAGCTTATTTATTTTATTTTTTTTCACCATTTATTAAGAACAGCATAAAACGTGTTGTATAATTTGCATAATTTTCTGCTTCGAACTTGACTTCATTACCATGCTCCTAATATATCATTTCTGACGATGTTCTTGTGTACGTTTAATTATCTACGTGCTGACTTTACTCCATGGAAAGATGATTCATTATAGTTAGTTTTGATTTCAAATCACAATTGATCATGCTGCGGACATTTTTCTTTTGTAGCACACATGATGCGTATAATACTCTATGTGGTACAATTACATATACCTACATATACCTACATCATTGTAATACATTATTAAATGGCACAGAGCGTGGGCTGGAGATTGCTCAGAAGTGCACGGCAATTTTGTACCACAACCAAGCGACGGCGCTGCTAGACCTATATGATGCGTATAGGACTATTTGTTGTATAATTACCTATACATCATTATTATACATTATTAATAATGGCACAGAGCGTGGGCTGGAGATTGCCCAGAAGTGCACGGCAATTTTATACCACAACCAAGCGACGGCGCTGCTGGACCTGACGCCGCCTGACCTGGAGAACTTGTTCGGCAGCAACACAGCGCGTCTCACCCTACACCCCGCCACCACCGTCCTACAGGTCGCCATGAGCGCTAAATGCTTCACTTCTGAAAGTCAGTGTAACATTTACGTGCAGTTGTATTGGTAAACATTTATTAAGCAGTTGTACTCATGAACATTTATTAATGTACCTTCATGCAGGCTCGCTTGAATGTTTGAATTTGATGTTTTTGCGTTTGGTTTAGATCAATTTTATCGTTCGTGGCAGTTTGATCTTCAAGCGTTCCATGAGATTTGCACGCATTAAATGAGCGGTCTTGGTCTCAATGGAGATGTGAACGTTATTAAACTGGGATGAAAAGTTCACTGTACGCTTGAAATTTGTATTAAAAGTTTCCAAAGTCCTAAAAATTCTCTTAGGCTTATAGATACCCTTGGTACTTATATTTGTTATTTCCAATATGTTGAATTTCGCCTATACTGAACTTTATTCGTCGTATTCCAGCAAATCATAGTTTTGAATGGAAATGGCATGAGTTCTATTATAACAAGGATGTGAAGTAAATTGACGCAACTTTTACATGGTTCTATTTGCTTTGCTTAGCTACGTTCAGAACTACAATGGTATTCTTGATAAATATCTGAATTTTCATCAGTGATAACGCCCACGAGTTTATGCCATCGTTGAATGTCTCGGAGCTACTGAAGCTTCACTGCGAACCACAGTCAGAGCTCCTGTATCTTCAGAATATAATGTGTACTAATATACTAGACACATTGTATGTGTCTATTATATTATAGTATATGATAGTAGTCTAGTATATTATATTATTATCCACACATTATATTCTACTAGAACATAATGCGTAAATAGACGCAATGCGGGCTAGTCTACGTTCTAATTTCAGTTGACAGAAGCTAAAACTTTTTTCTGTAATCAGCAGGTGTATTACGTTACAATATTCACGCATTTCATCTCTTTAAGAACATATTTCATCTGTTCTTCTCTTCCTCCAGAGACCGCCGATTTAAGAACATATTTTATCTGTTCTTCTCTTCCTCCAGAGACCGCCGATTTAAGAACATATTTCATCTGTTCTTCTCTTCCTCCAGGAACCGCCGAGGAAATTATCCGCAACGGAGGGTTCCATATCAACCAGTTCCCCGTGAAGGAGCCCCACATGATCCTCGTGCCTGACGCTCACATCCTCCCCTCAGGATATTCCCTCCTCAGAGTTGGTCAGTTTCTCAAGTGCAGTTATTCCTAACTTTTATCTATTGCAGATAAGTTTTGTCAAAATTTTGCCAGTAAAATAATTGCTAACTTTTATCTATAGTGGACAATTTTTGTCAAAAATCCCCCCTGACCACTTTTAAGAACAGCTCTTGTAAGTTAAAAGATGCTTCACCTGCGTTAAAATGTACCTAAATTTTCTGAAAGCTTACCTTCATTTTCATTCATGACTGCAGCTGAAATCCTGCAGATTCATTGTTGACAAAATTCCCCGTTAATAACGCGTTTTTGAAATCTTTATTGTTCCTGTACATAATTATTGTATAATTTATCATGTACGTTAGAGTTATTGTCAGTAACTTTTTATTGGTTAAAACCAAATAATCATAGAATTTCTAATATTCAGACAAGCTTTTAACAACATAACGCATAAGCTTGCTGTACTCGAATAGTAAGTTCATTTTTTACTTGAATAGAAAAAAAGTTTTAACTGTATTTGGGTACGACATGTTTAACATGACTTTTTCAATCAATCAGTTAGTATGACTTGATCCTTGATATTTTGGTGTGAGAAACATCCAGGGCCATGTCATCAAAAACCAATTACTGACCTCTTTTCAAGTTAGACCCACCAATCATAAATTAGCCGCTACGTTTTCTTCGCCCGTTACATGTACTTAGGCCGCTACGTGTACTTCAGAGAGTTTTGATAGTATGGCTGCTAGTCTGTACGCAGTAGTACAGCCTCCTCTTGACTGATCACAAGTTACTTGTTTGCATTCGCGGGAGGTGCAGAAGCCTGCGTAGAATTTACTAAATTTATTTTAAAAACATTTTATAAATTTGAATAGGCTCGAAAGATAAATAGTAAAACAATCAATGCATTATTGTTCTTCATTTTGTTCACAGGGAAAAGGCGCTTCACTTTGGTAGCCTGGAACAGCAGCAGTGCTTGGGCCGAGCGATCATAGTCTACTCGAGTCTTACGCCATCATCAGTCAATCAAATGGTCGCAGGAATTTATATTACAATAAAAGATACAAAGTTACCGGTGTAATGAATGTACCATTACTTATGATCGTCGCAAATGATTTTCTCATGAACTCGGTTGTTGTTAGCTAATTACGTTGCAGTCTTTACTTTGCATTCCACAACGGATTTCATCTAGTGACTGTTTACTGCCATTGATTTGATTTTCAAATTGTCTCAATATGGAAAATTGGTATCATAGTTTGAATTGTGACTCAACACGTGCTGATTTTCAAAATAAAATTTCGCTTTACTACCAATTTATCTTCCACCTCACACCGCCTATTGCATTGATAGCGATCGTCTTCGAAACTAGATTCTTGTCAATAATAAATGATTTCTGTATTAACACCGTAGTTTTAATATCTTTTTGCAAACTAGAGTCGATATGATATTTTTTAAATTTGTTCATGCTAAACTTCAGAAAGGAAATTCGTATTCTATCCAATTGATCACATTTTTGTAGGTCTCGGACAAATTTACGGCCGGACCCGCGGCCGCAAGGTTTTCTTAGTGTTTTTATGGGTTTTCTAGGTTTTTTGTGTTTTTAATGGAACCTGTTCCTAACTGGACCTAATCTGCGTGGTTTTCGTTGATTGGCTAGGTTTTTTCTATGTTTGGAGTCCGGCGGCCGCGGGTCCGGCCGTAAATTTGTCGTTTAATCAGTTTGGCAGAGTAAATGATGAATACGACAGAGGCACTAACTACAGTGGGGAGATAACCGTTAGTGAATCATTCTGTGTGAAAATCAAATGGGCAATGTCTAGAATTGTATTTAATATTATTCGCAATTGGTGCTGGACATTTGTTGGACAAATATAACTTACATTCAGCGACTATCAATAGGTAATTTGGTTCAAAAAGATGTCCAATGTCGAGGGAAAAACTTAGAATTCATCGCACAGTTTTATGGCTGAATGGATTCAAGAAACAAATTGGGGAAATTATATGCTAAAATTTATATTTTATTTCGAGACAAAGCTTCTCTCTTATTGAGTCAGACGATTCTCACATTTTGAGCTTAAAAGCACATAAGTCACATATGAAGTATAATAATAAACTAGATTTATCGATATGACGAACAAACGCAGTCAATGTTAGAGGCATTGTCAACGTATTAAGTGCGGAAGCTATAAATAATAGTTTGATTAAATGACACGACAGCTATTCGCGAAAAGTTGAAAACGGACAGTGGATCGCATCATCACAATATTTCTCCGACCGACCGACTCCGTATGTGAGCCGACGACGTGATATCTCTCGAGGATTTGAGAAGTGCCTTTCATAATTTGCAGGTATCTATTTCGTTCGAATTTAGTCTCAAAATGTATATATAATTTTCTAATAAGCTAATTTCTCTCAACTCGTTCTATCTCGTTAGATTATCAATTGTATAAATTGCCAATCTGTGGCAATCTCATTGATGATTGACCTGGCAGGCTGGCAGACCTGGTCACCTGCCACCGCCCACGGGCCACCTGGTGCTCTCAAACAGAGTCTACAGAGAATATGGTGGGTGGACGACCGACGACATACAGACAGTCTCGGGCTTAGGGAAGAGTGGCCACTTTTCTCTGGTCATTAGCCTCAACCTCCAACCATAGTGTCAAAGCACAGATTTTCTGGAATCAGTTCATTTCTAATTTATTTATTTACTTAAGATTTATACCAATTTCTTATGTATAACAATGCTGGTATCCAGGATACTTTTCTGGTCTACTAATTGGACTCAAAAATGAACTTGATGCAGAGTCTATGAAAGTTTCTGCTTTGCCACTATAACCTCCAACCAGGGTGGAATTCTAGAAATGGAGGTTCACTTATAAAAAAGCTTTCCACCCAAGGTGGAATGCTTTCCTTAGCTACAGTGCTCTGCCAGGTGACTGACTATAAATGAAAAGGAGGATCAAAATTGGACAAACTGTTTCAATTGTATAGTACCTCAGAATCAGATTTGTTATAAAATTGTTTGAATGTCTCTTGTTTGATAGATATTCTCTATTTTTCTTTTATTTAATGGATTTTTTAAAATTTTTCCAGGCTTTTTGTTTATAATGATCAAGTTTAAGTTAAGTATTTAGAACTTTCCAACCTTTCAGGTCCTGCTTTCCAATATGCTATGTGTACTGGTTAATTTAATATCCCTCTAGAATTCTACACTGCGGCTCCAACCTATCAAGGAAAAATAAAGAGTTGTCTTAAGGTACTCTAAAACCAATCCCGGCATCCAATAATCCTTAAGGAAAAATTAGGCCAAGCAAACTGGGAAGAAGAACTTGAAGGGAAGGACATTGAGGGCTGTTGGGTGGTGATGAAGGAGAGAATTCAAGTAGCTGTTGATAAGGCTGTGCCAAAAGGAGTCTCTAGGAGGTCACAACATAAAAAGTGGATGGATGGTAATAATGAGTGGCAGGCGGCCCAGTATGGAATTCTGTATAGGTAATATATGATCATGTTAACAAAAGGAAATGTATTGAAAAATTTACCACCTTACAACTTCCACTGAAGTGACAATTGATACCCTTACACTGAGCTTGTCAGAAACTGCGGACACCCGGATGCGGACAGCTGTACTTCCTTTAACTCGCTTGCGTTGGGTTCGAAAACCGATGAAAAGTCGGCGACTCTTCCCTCCAATAGGCTACATACACTAGTCGTGTATCCGTATCGACAAATTTTATAGAAGAATATGTTCCAAAATAAAAATTACGTAAACTTTCGCAGAAAATTCTCACGATTTCACCAATACCAACAAAGTTCTTGAATCCACACGGAATGATGGGATAAACTGTTAATCTTTCACGGCGTATGGCAACATTGTGTAATTTGTGTTGACTGTTGACATTAGACAAGACGGTGTCAGACACCTTGTTTTGGTCTTGTAAAGTTCAATTTCATAATAAATAGATTTGATCCACATTTCACAGTGACATTTAAATGATGGAAAATTGTTTCAAAATTCAAACGCCAATTGATACGCTTCTAAATACGAATTTATTCATGTTTTTGCCCTATAATGTCGAATTTGTCTTAATAACTTCACTTCACTTCAAATCCTGAATGATTTTGTCTCCCGTGGCAAGTTTTCAAACATCTTGTGTCTTTTAGAAAATGTTGGTTGTTTATAAGCAGTAAATGTAAATATAAGCAGTAAATATTTTAAGCAGCTCATCAATATTTACAGATTTATGGATTGGTGATGTATCAATATTTGTTATAAAATTAAAAATACATGGAAATGAAGGCACATGACTATTTTTGGAACGGGTAAAGTATTGGAACACTGCTTGCCGACCGCTCGGAGCCTCGGAGTCGGAGAAGAAAGGCAAGCACTGTATGGTGCAATGGTTGTTGGTGTCGTTGCATTTTATTTCAAGTGCATAAGAAGTGAGAGTTTAAATAACCTTGTAAGGTAATTACAATATAGTTTATATGACCGGGTAAGGTTATTTTATCATTGTGAGTTGGATAAACAAAAATTATCTATTATTCTTTCCGGTACTAGCTAATATGGCTGATTATATAGTACAGCGGGCATAGTGGGATTCGCAACCGTTGCAAGTCGTGACGCGAGGTGGTCTAATAATGGTGGCGGTCATAGTCATATGAAATGAAGTTAGTTTATTAAATTATTAAGTTTAGGTTTTGGTTGTCTTTGGTTTTATAATTTTAATGATATTATTTCGTATCATAATTTGTGGCTCATTAGGAGTTTAGGACACTGCAGCAACCGCCAGGGCGTTATTTCAGAGTGGTAGAGCTGTGGTCAACAAATTTAAGATATATCCAGCCTCTTAACATAATCAGTTCCAAATATTGTCAAAATATTGAAAGAGAATAGTTGTATATCCATTTATATATCAAATGTGCAACCATAGCTACCATAAAATGGGGTTACTTTGACCGGCGGGGTAACTTTGACCACTTTTCGTTTTTTTAACAAAAACCCCAAAAACTCATAAACGATTTGACATAGAAAAATTTTGTCAATGGCCATCAAAGGCCCAATACTGAGCCTCTGAGGCCATAGTGGCAATCAAGAACAGTTTTTTTCTAGGGTCAACATACAATTTCTGAACACAAATTAAGCATATGCATTGCTTCACAATTTTATGAATGCCGATGGTAAACAGTCAAAATATAACTCAGTTTACCAATAAATTTACATTTTAAAATTAGATTTTACATAACTGTCTCCAATGTTAGTAGGTTCTGCTCTGCTGAGACGACAATGCAAGTTTGGTACTGGCAGCGCAGGCATCGACAACCACACGTTGGGGCCGTGGCACCAGTTCACATACTTCTGGCAACAACAACACTCGTTCAAAACTGCATGTTCGAAGATCAGATTTAGAAGTTGAGTTCGTTCAATGCTTTCCAAATAGATGCTCTTGTTTGTCATAGAGGAGACGTTCATTCCTTTCCTATCCGCATCTGCTCTACGCTGGATTTCGTTTTCAATTCAATTCCTAATTTAGAGTAAACTCTTTGTTGAGGGATTTTTTGCAATTGATATATCGATTCGACACCGTGTACGATATTTTAAAACAAATTTACAGAACAAAGTTTCATAGCACTTTTTCCACGCATAAGTTTATGAAATTGAAACTAAGTGATAATTACCAAATTAAAAACAAAATTTTTCTAGTAATATGAGAAAGCTTGTGCAGATGGATTGGATATATATTAGGCTCATGACAAATTTAGGACAGCATAACTCGCAAAGGAAAGCAAAATTGAAAAAAATTATCACAGCCTGAATATCACTGTTAGGTCTTTCTGAATGCATGTGTAAATTTTCATTGAGCTGCGTTGATCAATTAGAGCAACGTTAAGCTCACTGAAACTTGGAGACGGGCCGTGAGCCTGGCCGTAAAATTGTTCGAGAAGTTATAGTTACAAACGCTGCCCTATGCGCTTGCAGTAGTGTATTTTGAATATATAGCTTCGTTTTTGAAAGGGTCAAGCTTGGTTTCTATTATATAAACTTATGCAATAAAACGTGCAAAAAATGAGCATACAGTGGGGGGAAATAAATATTCGTACACTTGAAAAATCGTATTTTAATGTATGTAAGTACACAAATTTAACAGGAAAAGTGATTTAAATTATGTATAGAGACGCATAGTATTCAAAAATACTGTCAAAAGAAATTAAATCTCAATGCAACAAAAAACAATGCAGCCCCTAACAACATGTTCACTTTTCGGGTGAAAAAAATATTCATACAAAACAATAAATCTGCATTATTTTAATTTAATACTTGGTTGAATACCCTTTATTCAGCTCAACAGATACCAGTCTATTTCTATACGTCTCGACCAATGATTTGCAGATGCTGACTGATAT